GAGTTAAGTACCCTCCACTGCACACTGACCACTGAGGTCAGTACCCTCCACTGCACACTGACAACTGAGGTCAGTACCCTCCACTGCACACTGACCACTGAGGTCAGTACTCTCCACTGCACACTGACAACTGAGGTCAGTACCCTCCAGCACACACTGACCACTGAGGTCAGTACCCTCTCTCATATGCTGGACAAACGAGGTGATTATCTCGGTGACATGCCGGCCAACAGAAGAAAGCGCAATAAAATCATGAACCAAACTACAGAGAGCAGAGGAAGCCCTGAGTGAAGCACCAGGGAAATGTGTACTGCCGACTGGGCACAGCCAGTCAAGGATCCCAGAGCATCAGAGCAGAGGAGGAATGGTAAAGCCTCCCCCTTGGCATGAGGCTCAGAGGCAAGGCAAAGCCTTCCTGTGATCCAAGTGTGGATGTTGAGAGTGTGTGCAGAAAATGTCCAGCACAGCTTTCTGCCCACTCCTGGGATGTTTGCAGACTGTAAGCTGCTCGCCCATGGAGACCGTTCCTATCGGGATTAGCTAGACCTGCACCCTCGACCAGCTGTGTGGCCTGCTTCCTTGTTTGTCCGAATGCAATAACTCCACATCCTTGTTCAGCCGCGTGCAATAACTCCACATCCTTGTTCAGCCGCGTGCAATAACTCCACATCCTTGTTCAGCAGCGTGCAATCACCCTGCACTCTCTTCACCTCTCTGCTACCGACACGCTGAGCTCAGGGTGGGCAGCTAAGTTTTCTCCGTCTGAGCTCACAGTACACCGACTCCTGCTTGTCTGTCTGTGTGTCTGTCTGTGTGGTCTGTGTTTTCTTCATTTCCTCACTGCCTGAGTCAGATCCACTCCTGGAGCCTTGCGTGGATGTGGCACACATAAATAACTTTCTAAGTTGTTCTCTCAAGGAGTGTCGGTGACAGTTACAGAAAGCTAACACACAAGGCCTAAGGGAGTGGGAACCCCTGGACACTGTGGCCATGGCACACTGTAAGATACAGAGGCAGGAGGCCGGTGTGCTCAGTAGTAGAACCTGCACAGGGCTCAGGAAGTAGCTGTTCCGGGTTCCTGCCTCCAAGCCAGCCCATGGACCAGTGGCACCTAAGGTCACAACTGAGCAGCCTTGAAAATGACAGCCAGAGGAAAGGTCACACTCTCTGCAAGGACCCTACCAGCTGCTCAAGGCCACACTCTGAAAGCACAAGCCTACCAGGCTCCAGCAGTGTGCGGTTCAGATTAAGACAGAAACTCAGTCTGGAGGGCAGGGCCTCTGTCTCTGGAAGCCCTGGTCTTTGGATTCTGTGGTCTAGCCCAGAAGCTAAGAGAATCCCAGTTGCTAAGAGAATCAATTCTTAGTACCAGTTTAGCTCCTAGGGCTCTGAATCAATCATTGCTGTCCTCTTAGCCCTGGGGCATTATGGGTACTTCCAAGCAGAAGAGGTGGTCAGGCCCAGGGCATTGAGGAAGCATCCTCCATAGCCCCTTGGATATTGGGAAAATGATGAGGCCCCAGGAGGCAGGAGCAGGGAGGTGGTGGCTCCAGGCTGAAATGCTGTGAGCAGAGTTCGAGGCCAGCCTGGTCAACAGTGGGGCCCTTGATAGGTGGGTGCTTGTCTGGCAGGACTCTGTGAAAAACCAAGGAACAAGCACACAGCCATGGGAGGCACTGACATTCGAATGATTAGTAGTCAGGAGCCAAACACTAACTTTGAGTACTGAGATTGCTCATCTGTTATTGACTCCTTTACTATTCAGTTGATAATCTGGATGGTGCACACCTTTAATACCAGCAGTCAGGAATCAGAGGCAGGCAGATCCCTGAGTTCAAGGACAGCCTGGTCAACAGAGTGAGTTCCAGGACAGCCAGGACTACACAGAGAAACCCTATCTCAAAACAAAACAAAAGAAATAATGACTGAAGCGTTATCTCCTGCTAATTCATCTGACCGTATGGAGGGTCAATCTTTACCAATATCATCTTGGTCTTGAAACCAGTAAGAAAGCATGATTAGCTTCATTCTACAGATGAATAAGTTGAGGCACAAGGTTACTCGCACGTAAATGTCAAGGCTCAAGTCTAGAGAAATGATACAGCAGCTGAGCACAGGCTCCTCTTACAGGAGACCCAGGTTCAGGTCCCAGAGCTGACATAGTGTCTCACAACCTTCTGTAACTCCAGTTCTAGGGAATCGAAGGCCCTCTCCTGATCTCCACAGGCACCAGGCACGAACATGTGCACAATCATGTATGCACAGGAAAAAAAACCTTTAATGAAACGTCAGGGCTGAACTCTGAAAGCTGTGTCTGGCTGTCCATGTCAGTCTGAGCCATCCTTCCTGTCCATGCCATGGCTGCCTTTCATATGGTGCGGACGGCTGTGAGCTGTGTGCCAGGACTCACCAGTGCTTTGGTGGCCTTGACCACTGGCTGCCATTCTTCTGTGATGGGGAAGGTCTCCTCGTTTGGGTATGGCCACTCTGGAAGCACCATTCCCACATCTTCCTGAGTTGCCAAGGTCATGGAACATTCTTCAGAACATTTCAGAACAGGCCTCAAGGCTGACCTCTCTCACATTCAGCCCATCCTATAGGCATGCGTCCTGAGCCCATGTTTCCCCGGGCATCTTCTCCCTGGGAAGAGGCTCATCTGGGTCTACTGTCCATTCGTCTAGTCCGGTGTGTCTGAGCCCTGAATGAGCTCTCCCCCTGGCATACACCCACAGCCACTCCTCTCCAGTTCCAGGCCAGGCTTCGGGGTAACCATGTCTGTACTTCCTGCTCCCACTTCCTTGTCTCCCTGTGGACTGGTTTCCTCCCTCTCTTGAGTGACCAGCCTCTCTGGCGCTGCTAACAGCCTCTTGTTACTCCTCTGATGGCATTGGCTCCGTGTCTTTGCTGCTGCTTGAATCCTCCAGGCTGCCTCCTCAGTGTGGATTTTCCTGGCTGGGCTGTTGCTTGGTTTTCTCAGGATTGCATTTGCTGTTCTCTCTCTGTCTCCTCTCTGAGTGAGCTTTTGGATTGTTTGTTTGTTTGTTTGTTTGTTTGTTTGTTTGTTTGTTTTTCAAGACAGGGTTTCTCTGTGTAGCCCTGGCTTTCCTAGAACTCACTCTGTAGACCAGGCTGGCCTCACACAGAGATCTGCCTGCCTCTGCCTCCAAAGTGCTGAAATTAAAGGCATGTACTGCCACCCTCGACTAGTCCTTATCTCACACCAACACCCACCGCCACTGCTCCCCACCCCACCCCACACACACGCATGCACGCATACACTCACGGCACTCACCCTGATGCCTCTGCTGTAGGAGATAAGCTTGAGGATTCGCAGAGACTGTATACCATCAGCAATATGGAGGAATTTGTAATGTCTTCCCTTGATCTTGCGGAGGGCATAGGGTATCAAGATAATAAAGATAATGACCACATCCAGTATGTTATAGCCATCCCTCCAGTATTTAATGGGCTCCACATAGACCTTCATGAGGAACTCACAGGTATAGATGGAGACAAAGATAATCTCTGAGACCTGCAGGGGTCACAAGGGTTAGAGATCAAAACCAATGCAGAGCCCCATAGTCCTGCCCTCTCCCTGCTGAGACCACCCAATCAGGTGTGGAAAAACCCAGACAGAGCTCCTAGCTCTCTTAGTGAGCCTGGAACCCTTCCCCTTCTGAGTCTTCCCTGCCTGTGGCACTAAGCCTAGGGCTAGGTTTCCCCTCGATGCAGGCATGACTGCCTTGCAGCTGAGCAGCTGGCTGTAAATAGCTGTATAGACAGGTCCTGGTCAATATTCAACATACAGGCCACCTGACGTGAATAGTCCCCAAGAGAAAGGCACGAGAGTTTCCTGGCCATCCTGATACATACACTTTTAAGGTAAAATATACAAACATATAGTTATATTTAATCCATTACCTTCATCAAACATGCATAAAGATCACTCAACTAAAGTCCCCTGGTTTTGAAGGACATTCTGCTTTTTCCCACTTTTATACTGTTTGAACCAATCTCCTCCAAATGCTTCTCCCTTGCCTACAACTCCAACGGATCTATGACTGCCAGGGGGTCCTTTTAGAAACATCTGTTTTTTCTTCATCAAAATTCATTTGTCGCCGGGCGGTGGTGGCGCACGCCTTTAATCCCAGCACTCGGGAGGCAGAGGCAGGCGGATCTCTGTGAGTTCGAGGCCAGCCTGGGCTACCAAGTG